ATATATATATATTAATTTGTTTCTCCACTAATTTGAGAATTTCTATGTTCAGGAACTCCTGGTGTGGTATTGTAGGATAAGCACTGGACTGTTTACCACAAGGCCAGCAGTTCAAGCTGCTCCTTGGAAACCCTAGACAGGGTCTCTATAAGTTGAAACTGACTCCATGGCCCTTAACAACAACAGTATTCAGTATTATTGAAGTTTTTCTAGACACAAGTGTGCTTATAATTTAAATTGTCATCATGAACATCTTCAACTTTTTTTTCTTAACCTGACAGTTTGTGTCTAGACTTTGTAGTATTTCACCAAATACGAGATTAATCCATAGATATTCTATATGACTACAGATTTAGTTTAAACAAATAGGAATAGGAAAAAAAAACTTCCTTTTTATTGTGGTTGGAGTGTTGTGAGGTTGAATATGGGTTGGTAAACTCTGGCAACTTAGGCTGCAAACTGGCTTCTACCAAAGCAAATGACAATGACTTAAAGGTCTACTTAGGGACAAATCTTTAAATCCTATTTTGTAGGTTAATGACACTATCTATGAGATTCCAGATTTTTCTCCAACAATTAAAGGTGTCCTTTGGGAAAACTGGCCAATGGATAAAGGGGTTTTTATTGCTTATGATGACGACAAGGTGTACACGTACGTCTTTCACAAGGACACCATACAAGGTACTTGATCTCTGTTTTGTACTTGTGTTGCAATGAAATCAAAGTCAAAAGCATTCTTTTCTGATGTTTGTGCTGACTCCCAGCTTTCAGCATTAAGACATTTGTTTTATAATTTAGGGTCTAAGGTCATCTTGGCTGGTGGCACCAAAGTTCCCTTCTCCCATAAACCTTTACTGCTATATAATGGAGAGCTGACCTGCCAGACACAGAGTGGAAAAGTGAACAACATCTACCTCAGCACGCACAGCTTCCTCGATACTGTAAAAGATGTGGGGCCTAATGAACTTGGACAAATGCTGACACAAACTTTAATGTTGAAAAGGTAGAATTTAAAGCAACTTCTTGGAGCTCCTCTTATGCTTTCGTGGCTTTAAAGGTCAAGGTTAAATCCCATTAAAATCGATGGAGTTAACTGTATTTACTCATTTCATTCTGTTGTACATTAGGGTCACTGTGAGTCAACTCAGTGACAATAAACCACAACAGCAGTCTCAGGAGTATCCTGAGGCTCAGATAAAAGAATAGATATGAATGTGCATATAGATTCTAAAGGAAATACTGTTCTGAGGTATGTTGGTGCTTTCTTGTAAGAAAAGTCCTTCAGAACAAAAAGGTTTCTAAGTGCCTAGATAGCTCAGTTACTGTGAAAGTCTATTCAACTTTATGGAGTCCTGGTGTGACACTATCACCCTGAACAGCAAGGTCGTTTGCATCGCAAGGTTGGTGGTTCAAACTCACCAGCCACTCCTCGGAAACCCTATACAGGGTTGCTATGAGTTGGAACCGACTGGACAACATTTAACAACAACAGCATTAAAGTTTATTGTTTCACCAATATCTTAATTTCATCTTAATGAAGTGTGAGCTTGCCCTGTTTGAGAGAATTCCTGTTTCTGCTTCTTCTCTTACCTCTTAGGACTGTTCTGAATTCTTTTGTGGTTCTGATTCTTCTGCCCATCTCTTAAAGGGTGCAGTCCATGAGCTCCCTTCTGTCCTCTCACTATAGTTATTCTTCCTGAGTGATTTCTGCTTACATGTCTTCAGTTACCATCCAGACGAGGCTGGTTCCACAATCTGTGTCTTCATTTTAGATCTGTATGAGGGGGCTTCTAAAGGTTCACAGAAAAGTGGAATTAAAATCCCTGAAATTTCTTCACGAACTTTTTGAAGCTTCCTCATATTTACAAGTACCTATGACGGTGAACTCCTCAGACAAGCCTTGTCTAAAACTGAATTCGTCTTCCCCAGACTCTTCTTCCCATATCCTGACCCCATGTGCACACGCGCTATCTCACACATGTACGCACACGCCGGATCCTTTTCCCCAACTTTTGTCCCCCGTCTTACCTCCAACTCTCATTCGGAATAATACAACCACTTCATAACTGCTCTCTCCTCTCATCGCCTGATGACAAGCTTCTCCATACACGTCTACACTTCTGAAAGTTTGCATCTGATCCTTTCATGCCCACCCACCCCCCAAAGATCTTTCAGTGACTTCTGTTTGCCTTTAGGAAATCCCCAATATCCTCAGGACCTTAGCATGACTAGGCACATCTGATGTTTTAATGCCAGCCTCAGTTGCCCCTGCTTCTTGACTCCCTTTCCGTTTTATTGGCAAGTCCTTGAGTTCCATGTTTTTTCACGATTCTCTAGTTTGGCGCATGATTTCTTTTCCTGGCATGCCATTGCCCTATCTCTGTATGTAGTAGTAAGTCCTCAGGCATCACCATTCAGTGGAGTCACTGGAAGCTTCCCTGACTCCACCACCACCATTGGAAGTCTGTCAGGACCAGAGTATAGTCTTCATAGTACCACTTACAGCTGTGTAACTTGGGCTGGGGTTTTTAAGGTCTCTCAGCCTTAGTTCCCTTCCTTTCAAAGTAGAAATAATAATACTAATAACATTTAGTGGGTAGAGTTGCTGATAAATTATGAAAGAATATATGCAAATCACTTAGTATAAAGATACACACATTGTAAGTACTCAATTACACTTTAAACACTTGTTAGAGTCATCTGTTTACTTATCTCTTTTTCTACCTTCCCCCACCCAATACAACTTCCTTAAAAGTAGTGGCTGTGTTTGATCTTTGTGTCTTCGTCCCAAACATAGTTTTTGGCAAATAATAGGTCTCAGTAAATGTGCATTGGATGGATAAATGGATAGATGGATGAGTATAATACATTTCCTGAAGTTTAAAAAAAAAGTTAATTAGTCTTTGTGTTCGTGTTTTTTTGTTTTTTTTTTATTTTAAAAAAACTTTTATTGTGGGTTGAGTGAATGTTTACAGACAAGTGACGTTTTACATTCAACAAATCCTACACTTTGTTTCATCTCAATGAATGCAAGCCCCTCCATGTAGCAACAGTTGTTTCACTTCCTCCCTGGGGTTCCTGTTTGCTTTTCACCCACCTTCCCATTCCTTCTCAACTTTGTCCTTAGGTCAATGTTGTCCTTTTTTTTTTTTTTTTTAATTAAATGTTTTTATTTTGCATTGAGTGAAAGTTTACAGGGCACATCATCAGCTTCACATTCAACCATTCATATAGCTTGTTTCATTACATTGATTATTATCCCCTCCATATATCACCAGTTTACAGTGTTTCTCTCTATCCTCTTTAGCTTTTTTTTTTTGGATGGGGGGGGACGTGTTCGTGTTTTAAACCAAAGGTTGACAAGTTTTTTCTGTAATGGCCAGATGGTAAATATTCCTGACTTTGTGGGCCATATGGTCTTTATAGCAACCATTGTGAAAACTGCCATAGACAATATATAAATGAATTCGTATGACTGTGTTCCACTCAAATTTATTTACAAAAACAGGCCGCTGACTGGATTTGGCATTGAATGGCACTAGTTTGCTAATGCTATTTTACACTTCTAGAGTTAATTGGAATAGACTACTGAAAGGCTAGTGGTTCAAATCCACCCAAAGGCACCTTGGAAGTAAGGCCTGGTGAACTGCTTCAGAAAGGCCATATAAAGTCTTAAAAACTTTATAGAGTGCAGCTCCTCTCTGCACATGGGGTTGCCATGGATCAGACTCTATTCAATGACAGTTAACAGCAACAGCAACACATTGAATTAGATGAATGTGAGAATAAAAATAATTTTCATCTATGTGGGAAATAAAACAAAAATAAATAATTGAATTAGACATTAAGTCTAATGTCTCATAAAATAATGGGATTTGTAGGATGAGTTCCAGAGAGTAGATTCAGGTCAGTAAAGAATATTCAAAAATAAACATTTCTTTGTACAAATAACAAAGAAAGATTTCGTTTTTCATGACATGCAACTGAAAATTACAGATTAAGGCATGTTTTGCAGAATGTATTTAGGACATGGTATTATATATAACATGAACTGTGCCTACTGTATGGCAAGAGAGCTCTCTGATTGAGCTTATACCCCGGCTAGGTTTTCCGACGCTTGGGAAATGTGCAGGATTCTGAATGATCATGCTGCATGGAATGAGTTGGCCAGGGCTTGTCTGCATCACATGGAAGTGGAGTTTGCAATCCGCGTGTATCGGACAATTGGAAATGTTGGCATCGTGATGTCCTTGGAACAAATAAAGGTAAGTAGCATTTTATGAGACCTTTCCGATAAGATTCAGTGCTATTTATTCAAATATTTTAAATGTCTGGGGTTAATCTTACCTTGGGAACACTATGGCTCTAGAGGATAAGTGCTGAACTGCATATCACAGGGGCAATGGTTCAAGTCCGCCGGCTGCTTCACAGGTGGAAGATGGAGCTTCCTGCTCCTGTGAAAATTTACAGTTTCAGAAACCTTACACAGCATGGCTATCAGTCAGAAACCACGCGAAGGCACTTAACAGCAACAACAATCATACCTAGCTCATACACAGGTGAATTGATCAAACATTACCACTTCCTACTGAAAGTGGTAGCACTGTAGAATAAGCACTGGACCGCAAGGTTGGTTTGAATTGCAAGGTTGGCAGTTCAAATCCACCAGCCACCTTGGAAACCCTATACAGGGTCTCTATGAATCAGAACCAACTTAAGGGCACTAAAAACAACGACATTGAACAAAGACTTAAAAATATATCAAATCCTTGTATTCCTTTTCATCATAAATCTTTTATTTTTAGGGAATCGAGGACCACAACCTTTTGGCAGGACATCTTGCCATGTTTACCAATGATTTCAACCTGGCTCAGGACCTGTATCTGGCATCTAGCTGTCCTGTTGCTGCCCTGGAGGTATGGCAGCAGAGAAAGATGGGAAGAAGAGCATGCAAGGAGAACCCCACCTTCTGTGTAGTGAAAATGTCTCAGCCACAGACTCCACATGCCTTCCTGCCCACTGCCTTCCAGTCCCCTCCAAATTTCAACATTTCAGCTTTAACATTACCCAAATACTCATTAACTTTAAGAAGATGATTTTCATTCTGCATTTCACAGAGGCATAAAAGTCACGGTATTGTATTACCAAATAAATGAAAATTGAAGTGTCTAAAGAGAGATTTTGTAATATACAAAAATATATAAAAGGAGCCAACATTTACTGTGTTCTCTGATGTGCCAGGCACTGCCCTAAGCATGTGGCATCTGGAAAAATTCCATTCTCTTTTCATTCCACTTTTCTATGAGCTTTTAGACGCCCTTGTATATAGACTCATTTTACCCTTACAACAATCCTACAAAAAGACTCTATTTTCAGGATGTGAAAATTCAATCACATCTATCTTTTACATATTACATGAAATTTTCTTGTGCTTTAATAAGTGGGCTAAGGACCAGTGTCCCACTAGTTTTTCCAGAGGGGAGTGTTGTAGGAAGGGACCACGACAGAGCAAAGAGAAACGTAGTAAAGCACCAGACTGTTGGGGAAGATAGAGCTTTGGAGGGCCACAAACCACTTTAACAGCTAAGACTTATTTGTCCCCTAAGAATCAGTTTTGTCCTCTTTATAGGTTGTATTACTCCCATAGAAAATGCAGGTTATTCTAATATCCTTGCAAAAATTAAATTCCATCATTTAAACAAAAAGTTTTTATAATCACTTGTATTAAAACGGATGCTATCTGGCGACTTTACAAACTAATTTGCTTATTTTAAATGAAGATCTTTTTCTTCCCAACAGATGAGAAGGGATTTACAGCACTGGGACAGTGCTTTACAATTAGCAAAGCGTTTGGCCCCAGAACAAATACCATTTATATCAAAAGAATATGCTCTTCAGCTTGAATTCACGTAAGTCCTTATCTCTACATGTTTCAGTCAACAGCTGCGTGCTGCATGTCTTCAGTTCTAAACCACCATCAATCATAAGGCCCTCCATTGATGTAATAATTGCTTTTTTAGGAAAAACAAACCAAAAAAGTTACATCAAATGTATATCAAAATATATATATATTTTTAAAATTCCCTAATCAGTATTGTCTTACCTGTGCATTTATCCATTTTCATTTTCGGTATCAAAGTTTGGTCCTAAACCTTTTTTCTACATTGAGAGTGAAAGTACTGTCCGAACCACACTTGGTTGTTGGCAATTATGCATAGCATCAGGGTGGCACATTGCTTTCCATTCCCAATGCTCATGAATTTGACCTCTTTTAACACTTTGAGGATTTGCAGTGTCATTTGAAGGCATAGTGGAAAATTACAGGGGTTAGCATGTACTTTCTGTTTACTCAAAGGTGTAGTTCTGTTTTCTCTTTTTAGAATTGAATTGCATATGAATAGAAATAAACAGTGTTGGAAGTCAAGCCCAAATCTTTTCAAAGACACATAGCCATCCACTTCCCAAGTAATAGTCCTTTATGATGTATGAATAGGTTTCATGACTCTCCCCTACTTTTGGAAGTTTTGTAATTTAGCTTGAGAGATTTAGAATTATCTAATGCATCAGTTGCTGTTCATTCTAATGTATTTATTAGAATGACAGTGTGATTTTAGAAACATTTGGGACCCTGTCTTAAGTTAACACGCATCCATGGTTGGTGCTACCAATGAACATGCCTGCAGAGGCTGTAAAGTTCCTCACAAATGTCAGCTCACACGGGCACGTGCAATCATAACTACAGTGTGACTTTCTTTGACAACTGGAGAATTTCTTTTGACTATTATCAGCTACATCTCAATTTCAAAATTATTAAAATGTGGGAAAAATGATCTTGAACAAAGACAATATAGTATTAATTTGACATTTAAAAAAAAAATCACACTTTTATATGCTGCTGCTGTGTGCCATCGAGTCAGTTCCGACTCATAGCAACCCTGTATAGGGTTTCCGAGACTGTAAATCTTTATAGGAGCAGGAAGGCTGGAGATTTCATGATAGAATTTTGCAAGACCAACAACTTACTCCTTGCAAATACCTTTTTTAAAGCAACATAAAAGGCAACTGACTATACACATGGACCTCACCAGATGAAATACACAGAAATCAAATTGACTACATCTGTGGGAAGAGACAGTGAAAAAGCTCAATATCATGAACTAAAACAAGGTCAGAGTCGACTGTGGAACAGACCATCAATTATTCATATGTAAGTTCAGGATGAAGCTAAAGAAAATTAAAACAAGTCCATGAGAGTCAAAATATGACTTCGAGTATATCTCACCTGAATCTAGACATCATGTCAAAACACATCTGATTTATGAAACATTAGTGACCAAAGAACACAAGTGTTATAGTATGACATCAAGAACATCATACAGGTGGTTATGGGGGGAGGGGGGGTGCTGGGAAGTGGGAGGGGAGGGGAGAAGGGAATTATCATGAGCTAGAAGGTGGTAAACACATATTAAAATGAGTGACAGGACAGATAGTACACAACAAGAGGGAGGTTAGCGGAGGAAGGTTGAAGGTAGCAGGAGACACGGGGAGGAATGCAAAATTCAAAGGAAATCAAAATAAATACTATTAACTGATGGTATATGGAGGGGATTACAGTCATTGTAATGAAGCAAAGTATCTTATGTATCTATAAGAACCAAAAAATTACTTTGAGCATATCCCACCTGAATTTAGAGGTCATCTGAAGAACAGTTTTGATGCATTAAAGACTGAAGACCAGAAGAGTTGTGGGATGACATCAAGAACACCATACAGGAAGAAGCAAAAGGTCATAAAAAAAAGACAAGAAAGAAGAAAAAGACCAAAATGGTTGTCAGAAGAGACTCTGACACTTGCCCTCTAGCATAGAGAAGCTAAAGCTAATGGAAGAAATGAGGAGGTAAAATAACTGAACAGAAAATTTCAAAGGTCAGCTCAAGAAGACAGAGTCAAACATTATAATGCAAAGACCTGGAGTTAGAAAACCAAAAGGGAAGAACGTACTCAACATTTCTCAAGCTGAGGGAGCTGAAGAAAAACTTCAAGCCCTGACTTGAGATATTAAAGGATTCTGTGGGCAAAATATTAAAGGATGCATACAGCACCAACAGAAGATAGAGGGACACACAGAGTCACTGTACCAAAAGCAATGGTTGATGTTCAACCATTTCAAGAGCTAGCATATGATCAAGAACCAATGATACTGAAGGAAGAAGTTCAAGGTGCACTGAAGGCATTAGCAAAGAAAGAGCCTCAAGGAACTGACTGAATTAAAATTGAAATCTTTCAACAAACTGATGCAGCACTGGAGGCACTTACTCACCTATGCCAAGAGATTTGGAAGACATCTATCTGGTCAGCTATTGGAAGAGATCCATATTTGTGCCTGTTTCAAAGAGAGACGACCCAGCAGAATGAAGAAATCATCGGACAGTAGCATTAATATCACGTGCAAGTAAATTTTCCTGAAGATAATTATAAAATGGTTTCAACAGTTTATCAACAGGGAACTGTCAGAAATTCAAGCCAGATTCAGAAGAGGATGTGAAACTAGGTATATCACTAATGATGCCACATAGATCTTGACCCAAAGCAGAGAATGTTAAAAAAATGTCTACTCTGGTAGCGTAGTGGTTACAAATCGGGCTGCAAACTGCAAGATTAGCAGTTTGAAACTACCAGCTGCTCCGTGGGAGAAAGATGAGGCTTTCTGCTCCCGTAAACATTTACAGCCTCAGAAACCCTGTTCAGGGTCACTATGGGTCGGAACCGACTCAACAGCACTTAACAACAACAACCTGTATTTTATTGTCTATGCAAAGACTTTCAACTGTGTGGATAATGACAAGCTAATGGACAACATTGCAAAGAATGAGTATTCCAGAACACTTCATTGTGCTCATGAGAACCTATACAGAGACAGTCATTCTAACAGAACAGGGAGACACTGAGTAGTTTAAAACCAGGAAAGGAGTGCAACAGGGCTTTATTCTTTTACTATACTTCTTCAATCTGTATGCTGACAAGGAATCCAAGAAGTTGGATTATATGAAGAAAACTGAGACATTGGGATTGAAGGGAGATTCATTAACAGCCTGTGATATACAGATGACACAACCTTACTTGCTGAAAACAAAGAGTACCTGAAATACTTAGTGATGAAAATCAAAGACTACAGTCTTCATTATGAATTGCACCTCAATGTAAAGAAATAAAAAATCCTCACAACTGGACCAATGAATAACACCATGATAAAAGGAGAAATGATTGAAGTTGTCAAAAACTTCCTTTTGCTTGAATCCACAGTCAACATTTATGAAAGCAGCAGTCAGGAAATCCAGTGATATACTGCATTAGACAAATCTGCTGCACGAGACCTCTTTAAAGTGTTCAAGAGCAAATATGTGAGTTTGAGGACTAAGGTGCACCAAGCCCAAGCCATGGCATTTTCAGTAGCCTTATATGTATGTGAAAGTTGGGCAATGAATAAGGAAGACCGTAGAAGAATCGATACATTTGAATTTTGGTGTTCGAAAAGAATTTTAAAATTACCATGGACTGCAGAAGAGCAAACAAATCTTTCTTGGAAAAAGTGCAGCTAGAATTCTCCATAGAATCCAGGATGGCGAGACTTCATCTCTCCTACTTTGGACATTATGAGAAGGGACTAATCCCTGGGAGAACAGCATTATACTTGGTAGGGTGGAGGGCCAGCAAAAAAAAGAGGAAGCCCCCCAACGAGCTGGATTGGCACAGCGGCAAAAGCAATGGACGCAAACACAATCATTGTGAGGAGTGCGCAGACCGGGCTGTGTTTCATTCTGTTGTACAAAGGTTTGCTGTGAATCACAACCTACTTGACAACACCTAACAACAACAACATAATTATTTTTGTCACAATAGAAGCCTGATCCCTCATACTACCCTCATCTAGTGAGGTTCTCCTTTTCTACCATTTAAGCAACCCAGATTCTTTCAATATATATTCTATTCACAGATATTGAATCTGTGGAAAAGGCATTTGTGTCAATGGTCACAGTTGTCATTTAGTGCCTCAAAGAAAATAAATAACTGAAAGTAGCCCATACAATTTAATACAGATTCCGAAAATACTTAACGTACCCCAAAGTAAGTACCTTATGGTTTATCATAATCTGGCTTAATATATCTTTTTAAGTAGCAGGATAATAATTGGCTACACTTTGAAAGATAGTTTTGTGGATCACATCTTTTGGGAGTTTATGCTACTCAGCAACAAAGATTATTTTAAATCTTGTATGTGTAACTAGGATCTTTAAATATTTATTAAAATTCACTCTGGTTTTTCTTGCAGGGGTGATTATGTAAATGCTTTGGCTCATTATGAGAAAGGAATAACAGGTGATAATAAGGTAACTTTGCATGAAGATTGGATAATTAACTTTGGGCTTGTTCCATCTCCATTTTAGAAATTATAATCTTGTTTGCAGTCTGTTTAGTCAGTAATTACCAGATGAGCAGTTTTTTAGTTGTTAAGTGCTGTTAAGTCAGTTCTGACTCATAGTGACCCTGTATAGGATTTCCAAGAAGCAGTTGGTGGGTTTGAACTGCCAACCTTGTAGTTGTGATCTAGTGCTGATCCTATAGCACCACACCAGTACGCTTAAAAAAAAACTGAAGATGACAATATTTGTTTAAGTTTGAAAAGGATATGTTTTCCATTGCATTCTAAATATAAGCTTCTTGTCTAGGTTGGAAATAAAAAATTTGTATCCCTTCCTGCTTCTAGGCCAACTATGATTTTAAAAATACAATCCCGTTAACCCTGCGAAAGGCCTTTGAACCCTGTGAGAACTGTCCCCGGCCCATCAGCTCCTGCTGTGTTGTCTGTCATGTGGTATTCTTTTCTGATAAACCTGGTCCTTTCCCCACTGGGTCCCGCCATCCCCCCTACCCCAGAATTTTAGCTCAATAAGCTCTATTTTATAATAAATCAGGTGGGTTTTAAGTTAGGTGATGTCCTGTTGAAAAGACGTGCGTTCTCTATTTCATACGTAGCATCTTTATTACCAAAGTAACACATGCTCATTATACTTGATGTCAAAATCACACAACGATGGTAACTTGAAAAGTAGAAGCCCAACATTCTCTCTTCCATCCGTAGCCTCTCACGGTGATACCATTAGCGGTTTTATATATGGCCATTTAGAATCGCTTCTAAACATACAAAACATTTATAATCGCTTCTAAACATATGTGTGTAATATGGATTTTTACTAAAAATGGGGTCACTCATTTCCATTCATTCAGCCAAAGTCAATTGGGTATTCACTCTGTATAAAGCAGCACTTTGCTTTCTTCATGGTCTTTCCAAGGAAATACGTAAACATCTGCTTTAGTCTTTAAAAAGCATTAATGTGTGGCTAACCATAATTTTTCTTATCCACTCTCTTATTGAGACCCTATACAGGGTCACAATGGGTCGGAACCAACTCTACGGCACTTAACTACAACAACTCTCTTATTAGAGTGTGGTGTGATCTTTTTTTCTTCTATCAATAATTTCAGTGAATGTTCTACTCGTTACATGTATCGTTAGCTACCTAAGATACTATTTCTGAAGGATATATTCTTCTAGGTTATAACGTGTGCTTTTAGTTTTTGATATTGCTCAGTTTTCAAAAGAGTTATAATAATTCACCCACATATTGGTAATATTGGAGTCCTGGAGTGGCGCTGCGGGTTAATGCGCTGGAATGCAAGGTTGGTTTGAACTGCAGAGTCGGCGGTCCAAGCTCACCAGCCACCCCTTGGAATTCCTATACAGAGTCACTGTGAGTTGGGACCAACTCAACGGCACTTAACAACACTTGGTTATCTGTCCATTTCTCCTGTAGTTTCAGTAACACTGAATGTTGTCCATCATTTTATCCTTACCAATTTGAGAAACAAAAAAGTTATCTTATCTGACTTTAATAATGAGCATATTTTTGTTTATTGACCAATTATATATTTTTTAATTTATGAATTGTCTAAACATACAAGGGGCTTCAAAAAGTTCAGGGGAAAAAACTCATTATCTTTTAATTCCAGTTTTTATGAAGTTTTTGAAGCCCCATTATATATCTTTTGCTTATTTTTCTCTTAGGCTTTTTATATTTTCTTTCTTTTTAGTTACATTTATTTTAGTTTACCTTTTTATGTGTGCTGTCAAATACAATAACCAGTAGACACATTTGTTTATATCAATTTAATAAATTATTTAAAGTAAATGGGTTAAAATGCTAATGAAAATTTAAAATTACAATGACCATATGTCAAGTGCTCAGTAGCCACATGTGACTGTTAACTACTGTCTTAGAGAAGACAGCTATAGAATATTTGTATTATCAGCGAAACGGCCACTGGGCAAGCAGCTTTACATACAGTAGATTCAGACGTTCCATTTTACTGGGTGGTGTTAGGTGCTGTGGAGTTAGGGTCAACTCCTGGCAACTCTGTTATGTCTACAGAACAGACCTCACAGTCAAGTTGTGTTTAAGCCCATTGTTGTAGCCACTGTGTCAGTCCACTGCATGGAGTGTTTTCCTTTTTTCTCCAGTACAGGCTAATTGTGGCGTTGTCTGTGAACCACAAGGTCAGCAGTTCAAACCCACCAGCAACTCCTTGGAAACCCAGCACAGGGTCACTATGAGTCAGAACCAATTCGATGGCACTTAACAACAATAGATTAGTTATTCGGAAAGTTCTTTAGTTATTAATGTTACCTTTAATGAACTAAAATTCTATTTTTAAAAAATCTCAGGTTTTTTTTACATTTACTATGCTTACTAGAGAAGTCTTCAAATTGATTAATGGCTTTTCTTTTAATAATATTTACAGAATGTATGTTACATAGCCAAGATCTTACTTTTAAATAACATTTTATACCAAGAAGACATACTAAAGCATACAAGGTATTATAACGAAGGGTATTAAACATTTGCTCTTACACAAAGTATCTAAACCTCTAAAGATAAAAAGCAAGTAAACTCTGTAACAATTACTTTGAATTTTCTTTTTAAAAAGGCTCAATGTAGTTTCAAAATCTTGAGTCTTGCCCGAAAAGAGCCATGAAAGTAAACCAAGCCCTTTGGACTCATTTTAGATGAATTTGTTCTCTGTGAAATACAGCACAGTTAGGGCTGGTTTGTTAGAATGTGCCTTACAATTCCAGGAACACGACGAAGTGTGTCTGGCCGGAGTAGCCCAGATGTCCATTAGAATGGGAGACATACGCCGAGGGGTTAACCAAGCCCTCAAACATCCCAGCAGGGTCCTCAAAAGAGACTGTGGGGCCATCCTGGAGAATATGAAGGTATTCTTTTCTATGTGTAATTATTCATAGGGTCTTATACATAATAAATTCAACATCTTAATCATCTCATATGATCTCAGCAATTTTCAGAAGCAGCCCAGCTGTATGAAAAAGGTCAATATTATGACAAAGCAGCATCTGTCTACATCCGCTGTAAGAACTGGTAAGAATTTACTACCATTTGTTTCTGCGAAGCTTTGGAAATAAACGTGTTATCATCAACTCCCCACTGATTTCTTTGCTGCTGCTCCTTCCTGTACTATTCTGTTCCCCTGTACAGGGCCTCTCCTCTGTTTTTTCCTTCTTAGATGAGTTCATATAAATAGCTTTTTCCTAAAGAACATCACACTCATCTGATTTGTATGCAAAATTCCTGATAAGATTACTTAGTCGGACAAAAATTAAAACAACTCTACTTCCCCAAAGAGTTAATGAACACACTTTTCTTTTCTAGGGTTTAAAGGTCAGGTGAAAAGCAATGAAATCTGCTAGCATCTGTAGGAGCCGAGATCAGGCTAACTGCCTTTGAATCCTAAAACTTAACACTTGGTTGTAGAACGCTGCTGTTGAAGTGAATATAGTGTTGACAGTATTCTCCCGAACCTCTCTTTCTAGGGCAAAAGTCGGTGAGCTTCTGCCTCATGTTTCTTCTCCTAAGATTCACTTGCAATATGCCAAAGCTAAAGAAGCCGATGGGAGGTTTGTACATTTCCCAAATTCATGCTAATTTAAAGTAATCTGAGGTTTTTAAGGTAGCCACTTATACTTGCAATCTAAAAGGCAAAAGGAGTCCTAGTGACACAGTGCTTAAGCGCTTGGCTGCTAATGAAAAGGTTGGTGATTCAAACCACACTGGCTGCTCGGTGGGAGAAAGATGCAGCAATCTGTGTCCATAAAGATTACAGCCAGTGAAACCCTATGAGGGAGTTCTGCTCCGTCACACTGGGTTGCAGTGAATTGGAATTGACTTGATGACACCTAACAACAGCAAAAACGGCAAAGCAGGAAAAGACAGAAAACATTCCTTTATACCCCTCCCCAGCCTAACATGTCAGATTGTAAATGTTCCTGTATTTCCTATGCCTCAGTCTCTCTCTTATGTATCTAAATAGAGATGATTCTCTTTTTATTGGAGGGTTAAACAGTAGAAGTTGAAATTTTGATAAAGTGTGGCATGCAAATGAAGTGTAATAACTATATTAATGAGGTAGCATAGGGATGCAGATGAGAAGTGAAAACACATGAATTCACACATGGCTGTACTGTGTAAGCCACAAAGCAGTATTCAAATACAACAATTGTTGTTAAGTGCCATCGAGTCGGTTCAGACCCATAACAACCTGCAAAGGATTAATATCCTAAATATACAAAGATCTCCTGCAACTTAATACAAGAAAGTAAAAACCCTAGGAAAGTAGGCCAAGATAACAAGTCTCAAATGAGGAACTGCAACTCTCAGATAAACATGAAAAAAGCTCTACCTTGCTAAAAAGTCTTTAAATTCAAGCAACAGTATATAATTTTAAATGACCATATTGGGAGAAATATATTTGTGTCAGAATGCACTTGTTATACATGACCAATGGGAGTACAAATTTCTGTTGCTTTGGGAAATAATGTGACAATAATGTTTTAAGAGATTTTTTAAAAGGTTAATATGGTAGCGTAGTGGTTATGAATTGGGCTGCGAACCTTAAGGTCAGCAGTTCAAAACTACCAGCTGTTCCGCGGGAGAAAGATGAGGCTCTCTGCTCCCATATGACAGCCTTGGAAACCCTGTACAGGGTCGTTATTGTCGGTTCCTACTCCATGGCACATAACCACCACCACCACCATCCTCCCCTTTCAGAAAAGTAACCTTAGGAATTAGAACTCCTCCATGTCTGGTTCAACCAGTGAGGACTGAAGAGAAAGGTCTTGAGCGCCATCTAGAGGATCTTATATGTCACTGTTGAGCTCTATCTAGAATTGTTAAAGAATTTTCTGTTTCCTACAATAAGCCTTTTCAGAATCATCCTACTCAAATTAAAAAAAAAAAAAAAAGTAAAATGTAAAAAATGATGTTGATATGGTTCAGATAAGAAATATATATATATATATATATATTGTTACCAATCCCTTAAAAAAAGAATTAGTGGAATAATTTCTGGTATTTTTTTCTGATGAAGGAAAAAAAATATTCAAGAAAAATAAGTAATTACCTTCAATAAAATAGAAAAGTATTCTGAATATTTATTGCTCCCCCTCCAAAAAAAAGTTGACAGTTTGAATAAGAAAGTTTGTCTAAACTAAGCCTTTCTTGCAGGTACAAAGAAGCTGTTGTAGCTTATGAGAATGCCAAGCAGTGGAACAGTGTAATCCGCATCTATCTGGACCACCTTAATAATCCTGAAAAAGCTGTCAGCATTGTCAGAGAAACCCAGTCTCTGGATGGAGCCAAAATGGTAGCCCGGTAACAGAATGTGTTCATAGTTTTGGACTTCCAGATACTAACCTTAAAAGAAAACCTCATCAAAGAACTAAGTTAGAGAGGAGTATGTGTTCTATTTTATGTTTGACTAGGTCAGGGTGCTTCAATTCAGAGGTTACTGTGGATAGCACATGAGATTATGGTTTTCAAATATAAGCATATGGGGGAGCTTCAAAAATTCAGGGGAAAATGAAATGAAAAGGTAATGCCATTTTCCCATGAACTTTGTGAAATTTCCCTTATATAATGTAGAACTGCAGTTTATGTAAAAAAAACTTTCATTTTAAAATGGCTTCTCATCATTGGAAACGATTTAATTTTGTAAATCAGAAATTAATCTTAATTAATTTAGTCGAGCTAATTCAAGTGCTATGTTGTAGGTTTTTTCTGCAGTTAGGTGACTACGGGTCTGCCATCCAGTTTCTTGTCATGTCCAAGTGTAACAATGAAGCTTTCACACTGGCGCAGCAGCACAATAAGATGGAGATCTATGCAGACATCATTGGTAAATATCATTGCTTCCCTAATTTGTCTTGAGCTTTTTATCATAAAAACTCTTTGGCTTTTATGATCTAATTATCAGATTGATAGACACACAAGCATGCACATCTATGCCGTGTATAGACACACACCTATATATGTCTGTGTCTATATATAGTCCTGGTGTGACACTGTAGGTTAATGCACTGTACTGCAAAATTGGTATGAACCACAAGGTCAGCAGTTCAAACTCACCAGTTGCTCCTCGGAAACCCTGTACAGGGTCGCTATGGGTCAGAATCAACTCACTTAACATGAATGCACTTAACAATAACAACAACAATATCATCTTGGACTCCTGGTGTGGTGCTGTGGGATTAGCACTGGACTGGAAACCACAAGATCAGCAGTTCAAACCCACCAGCTGTTCCTCGGAAACCCTATACAGGGTTGCTATGAGTTGGAACTGACTTGACAACACTTAACAGCAAAAACATTCTCATCTTTGGAGTTCCTGGGTGCTACAATGGCTAACTTGACTACCAGAGGCACCCTGGAAGAACGACCTGGTGAGCTACTTTCTAGGAACTCGGCATCTGCAAACCCTACTGCATACAGCACTGCAGGCTTACCCTGAGTCGGTCTATTCGACAGCACTAGTGAGTTTGTGGCTAGTTACTAACACCATTAACGTTCTTGTCAAGTGCTGGCATGTTGGTTCCAACTCATAGAGACCCTGTATAGCGTTTCCAGGGAGTGGCTAGTTGGTTCAAGTCACTGACCTTTAGGTTAGCAGCCCAGTGCTTATCCTACAGAGCCACACCAGGATTCCATTAAAGTTGGATGATATTATAAGGAGGACCATTTTCAATTTTAAAAAATTCAGACTTTTCCAGTGACTTCCAAGAGAGGCCAATTACTTTGGTGAAGAGTACCTCAGACAAGTTTTGGTTTTTAAAGATTTTGAAGGTCCAAAAGAGAACTTTATAATCTAGGAATACCTGCGTGTTATTCTCAGAAACTCCTGGAATTGTTTTCCGATTTTCATCTTCCGGGTCATACATAACATTATTTGTGTTGCTGCTCTGCTTTGTTTTTTAAAATTCACAAAATGACCATAGGGATTGATAGGAGTTTTGAAGAAAATTTGGGGAAGAAATGAAGAAAAGCTTCTTCTGAAATCTTGGGAAGTTATTAACAGGAGAAAATAAAGAGCTGAAAAAAAGAAAGAAAATGCAGATAAAAGTGACATTAGAATTGTTAGTCTTTAACTTGACATTACAAACATCATTGCACTGAAATGCTTAAGTTTTTCTAAGTTCATAAGGATAGAATTTCTCTTTTTTTTAATATAAGAAGAAGAAAAATAAACAACCAAGTGCACACACAAACACACACACTTTTCTCGACCTTGCTCACTGTTTTTATAAACTTCATAGTAGCCTTGGAGGGCAGGTGCAGAGCTTTGGTATAAAGAACTCAGTATCCTGCTGGGCCTTCAACTTATATGTCCATGTTAACAATGAATTGGAACTTTATAGCAGCTTTGGAGTCTTTCTTCCTCTATGTTTAATGCGCTTAGGTCACAAACCAAAAACCTTAGAAGAAAAACAGTAATAACTATTATTATTAAGTGCCGTTGAGTTGTTAAGTGGGTCCCACTTTATAGTGACCCTGTATAGTTTTTCCAGGAGTGGCTGGTAAATTTGAACTGCCGACCTTGTGGTTCTAATCAACCTTGCATTTTCCTACAGTATCCTGCAGCGCCACACCAGAACTATTGAACAAACCTATTCCCTGGGTGGCCCAAATGGTTAAACACTTGACTACTAACTGAAATCCTGGCAGTTCCACCACACCTTAAGGTACCCTGGAAAACAGTCCTGGGAAATTGCTTCCAAAAGGTGGCAGGCTTATTGACACCATGGAGCAGTGTTTCTCTGCACAGGTGGGGCCACCGTGAGTCAGAATTGACTCAACGGCAGCTAACAACAGAATTGGTTACAGCGCCCGGACTGAGGGAAGAAAGTTGGATTACACTGGTATTGTGGTTCACTTCGCTTTTCTGTTGTCCCTAACTCTAAGCAAATAAGGGTTGAGGGTGTAGTCATAGCTGTTGCTGCAGCTTTAGGGAATGAGATGGATAAGGAGATCTCCGAAAGACTGATCAAAGTCACGCAGGGTAAGAGCAAACCATACTCTAAATGTCCACAACGGTCTCCTAAATTCCTTTCAGATCCTTTCTAGAATAAGAAGATGGCACAGGGCTGATATGTGGGCTATATAGTATAATTCTGGTTAATGTGCTTCAGGATAAAAACACACACTGATAATAACATTGACACTGTTGTTGTTAAGTACTGCCAAGTTGGTTCCGACTCATAGCGACCCTGTATAGGGTTTCTGAGGAGCAGCTGGTGGACTTGAACCACCAACCTGGCAGTGCAAACAGACCTTGCAGCCCAGTGCATTAACCCACAGCACCACACCAGGACTCCAACATTGACACTGGCAGTTTAAAATGCTTTCCCTGCTTAGTTGCTGATCACCTGTTTTTAGGTCTTACTTTTAAAGTTAGCAATGAAAGTAAGCAAGTTTCACTCAGAGATAATGTACTCACTGGACTTCTGTTGTAGGTTCTGAAGACACTACTGATGAAGACTATCAGAGCATCGCCTTATACTTTGAAGGAGAAAAAAGGCATTTTCAGGCTGGAAAGTTCTTCTTGCTGTGTGGCCAATATTCACGTGTTAGTATTTGCTAAGAAAGCATACACAGAACTCCACAGAAATGGTTATGGGAGATACTGACAAACACCCTTTAAACTCTCAGTGTCAACTTTGACTTCTCCCTCCCCTGCCACACCCAGTCACATTCCTGCTTCATAATGTCTCTCTCAGTCTGTCCTTTGTCATTCTAACTGCCATCAACCTAATCCAAGTCCAGTCAGCTCACCAGACATGACTGCAGTACTATCTCATTCCCTGTGTTTTCAGCCTCTCACTGTTACTCATCCTTATTCCCAATATAGTATTTGTTGTCATTGCTAAAAAACCCCTTTGTCTGAGGTGGTTGTTGTTGTGAAGTGCCGTGGAGTCGATTCTGACTCATAGCAATCCTGTACAGGGTTTCTGAGGCTGTAAATCTTTACGGGAACAGAAAGCCTCATCTTTCTCCCATGGAACAGCTGGTAGTTTCAAACTGCTGACCTTGCGGTTTGCAGCCCGATTTGTAACCACTACGCTACCAGAGCTCCTTTGTCTAAGGTAGGGGTTTTTTTTTTGGAGTATCCAAAATGGGGCCCTAATGAAGAGAAGCTGTGCATCCAGATGGGTGTGTCTGCTCTGAAGGGGACAGCTGCTGCTCACCTCCAGTACATCATCTGAAGTCTGGAATTTGAGCCCAGCATTGCAGAAGCCTGGTGGCACTGTAGGAGAAACACTGAATTGCTAACAGTAAGGTTGGCAGTTCAAACCCACTAGCCACACCATTGGAGAATGGTGAGGCTTTCTGCTCCCATAAAGATTATAGCCTCAGAAACCCTCTACAGGGTCACTGTGAGTCAGAATTGACTTAATGGCAGTAGGTTTGGTTTGGTGTATTGCCAGATCATAAGGAGCCCTGGTGGCAGAGTGGGTTGAGCATTAGGCTGCTAACCTGAAGGTCAGCAGTTCAAACACACCAGCCACTCCTCAGGAGAAAGATGAGGCTGCCAGCTTCCATAGAGACTTCCTACCCCCCGGACACTATGGTGCAGTTCTCTGTCCTGGAGGGTGACTTTCAGTTGGAATCAACTCAGCTGTGGTGGGGTTTCTTCTTTGGGACATTGCCAAATCACATGATGCTTCATTTCGATCTTCCAGTTTCATATGTGGGCTCAGATAGCTGTAAATGTCACATTGGTTATGGTTACTGGTTAAGTCAGTTCTGATTCATAGCGACCCTGCATGGGCTTTCGGAAGTTGTAAATCTTTACAAACAAAAAGCTCATCTGTCTCCCGAGGAACAGCTTGCTGGATTTGAACTGCTGACTTTGTAGCTAGCAGCCCAACTCATGACCCACTACACTTATCATGTGAATTCAGGCCGGCAATTTGCTGGCCTCTCAGATAAAGTCTAAGCTTCTTAGCTGGCACTCAGAATTTCCACAGTTGGACAACCCAGTCTAACTTCCCAGTCTGAAATCTAGCTATTTCCATGAAAGGTCCCTTCACTTCTGCTAGGGCTTTACCCATCCTTATTCTGCATCTAAATTCTTTTCTGCTCCCTGCGCCACCTGCCACAGACATGTTCATCCCTCAAGTCCTTTGTCTTCCATGACACCATACAAAATAATCTTTTTGTCCTCAGAGCACTTATAAAACTACATTGCCTGTCTGTCTTTCAATCTTTTGTAACCTTACATTTCTTCATAAATGTGGTGGTGTGATGTTTAGGAATTAGACAGTTACAACTTAAAAATAGATCTTTATATTATGATCACATTACATAGACTTCCCATTGTTGTCAAGTGTCATCAAGTCAGTTCTGATTCATAGTGACCCTCTATAGGGTTTCCAAGGAGCAGCTGGTGGGTTTGAACTACTAACCTTGCAGTTAACAGTCCAATGCTGATCCTACAGCACCATATCAGGAATCTGATTTCCTATTAGATTGTGTAAAACACAAAAAGATGTTCTATATTCTAGTTTAGAGTCCTGGTGTGGCACTGCGGGTTAACGCACTGGACTACAAAGTTAGTTTGAACTTCAAGGTCAGTGGTTCAAGCTCACCAGTCGCTCCTCAGAAACCCTATACAGGGTCGCTGTGGGTTGGCACCATCTCTACGGCACTTGGCAACAACAACAACATCTTACTATGTGAGTAGTAGCTGGAATCTTAAAAGCTTGCAAGCAGCCATATAAGAAACAACTGTTGGTCCTTACTCATAGGTAGCAAAAGAGAATGAAGAAATCAAAGGCTCAGAGAGGAAACTAGTCCATAGGACTAATAGTCCATACAAACCCTGGCCCCTTCTAACCTGAGACCAGAGGTAGATGGGACGCAGCTACCATTCCCTACCATTCTGATTAGGGTCATTATAGAAGGTCCTGAAGAGAACTAGAGAAAAATGTAGAACAAAATTCAAATTCTTAAAAAGGTCAGACTTACTGGACCAATAGTGACTAAAGAGAGGAGTCCCTTGAGACTATCGCCCTGAGATACCCTTTGAACTTGGAACTGAAGCTATTTCTGGAGGTAACGTTTCAGCCAAATAATAGATGGACATATAAAATAGTATCACCTGTAAGTGATGTGCTCCGTTCAACAACCAACAATCTGAGACCAAATGGTTAACACTGACTCAAAGCAAAGATGAGCGGCAAGGAGGAAACAGAACAGACAATGGAAAGAGTGAGAATGTTGATGCATTGTGAAAACTGTAATCTATGTCAGAAAAATGTGGATGAAAATTTTAAATGAGAACCTAATTTGTTGTGTAAACTTTCACCTAAAATGCAACAAAATATCACTAAACACACACACATACAATGAGGGACCACATTTTACCCTTTCTGGTGTCCTCCATGGCTCTAGCACAGCCCCACATACCTGGTAACCAGTTATCAGTAAATATTGGTTGAATGAATAAGTGAAGGAAAATAATTAAATCCTCCTGCTGAAAGGCACATTTTCTCTGAAATCAGTATTAGACCTCTTCAGATGGTTAACTGGATCTTTCCATTTTTTTAAACTACCCTCAGCCTTCTAGTATATATTTTAAGTACCCACAACTGAGCAAGGCCCCAGTTGAGCTGAAGCTGTTTTTCACCAGCTGTAATGACTTGGTGTGTAAGTGTGGTGAGGACTGTGTTTCCCACAGTGAAAGCAGTCTGAAAATCTTTCATTGCTGTGCTAATCCTCATTCCAGGCACTCAAACATTTCTTGAAATGCCCAAGCTCAGAAGATAACGTGGCAATAGAGATGGCCATTGAAACTGTAAGTAAATCTTTAATGAAACTTTTCAGAATACCAATTTTTAAAACCTTCCTAAGGCAGTTTCAAACATATGCTAAAGTAGAACTATCAAAATAACAAACTCACTTAAACAGCTATCAGCACATGGTCAGTCTTACTTTATTCAAAGCCCTACCCTGTCTCCCTGTTTCTCTGAACTGTTTTAAAATAAATCACAGCATGATTTCATTTTATTTGTGGATATAGTATCTATCTCTAAAAGACAAGGATCTTGGGGTGGTTTTGGTGTTACTGTTTGATACATATAAATTGCAGATGATAAAGTACACAAATTCTAACTATATGGTTGCCATCAAGTCATTTCTGATGGCAACCTCAGAGTAAAACCGATCCATAGAGATTTTAAGGCTGTGATCTTTCTGAAGAAGATCACCAGGTCAGTCATCGAGGTAGGCTTAAACTGCCAATCTTTTACTAACTAAGTGTGCCACCCACAGAACCAATTAAGGTTGTTGTTAGGTGTCATCAAGTTGGTACCGACCCATAGCGACCTTATGCACAGCAGAATGAAACAAAGCCCGATCCTGGGCCAACCTCACTACTGTTGCCATACTAGAGTCCATC